TTTTCCAATGTTCAGTTAATGATGACACCCATTGATTAAAAACCCTTTACGACACAGCAAGAGAGCTGTTCTATAGCAGCTTTAGAAAATCTCAAACCCTCAGAGCATCACAGATTATTTACAACATGTAATAGGGTGAGAAACATAGAGATGTAATTAAAGGCTACAGTATCTAATTAAATTAGGCTGATTTTTTTTCCAGTGGGGATTTTATTCTCTCCTGACTGTTTTCCTCCATTTCCTGAAACTCAAACTATATTTTGTTGAACTTTAATGAAGATATTAAAATGAAGATAATTTGGTCATCCAAAACCATCACTACAAAATACATTGCTTTTCCTCTTACAAAAGGATGGGTTGTCTAAACATTCTCCCCTTTCACAGAGGAGCTCTCCTCTTCCTTGCTCAAAGTTACATCTCAAAGGTTTTGGGAAATACTTGGTTTAGAACAAGATCATTCAAGTTCTGTACTTGAAAATGCACATGCAGCTATATGGGACTTGGGATAGACCTGAAAGGTATAAATTTTCTTATCTCTATCTTAATCCTCTCACCAATTTCTCACAACGATGCATATGTCAACCTCCTGTGCCTCTGTCCACCAGTGTGGAAAACAGAGCAAATGACACAAGTCTCGAAAGCATAAAGGAGTTTGTACCTTCAAAGTTTAAATTAAGTATCTATGCAAAGTTTTAGAGGACTACTGTTATTTTTAGACTAGCTCTAATTCTCTGTACCCAGAACTAAAATGCCCGATCTCCAATACATTTATTTCGCCATCATCATTGTTACCTTCTGGTAATGCCAGAAGGCCAAAGTCATAGTGGGGTTCTGTAAAAAAGTAAGACAATCGCTGCACTGAGGAGTTTACAATCTGCCCCATGTGCCTTTACTGGGCCAGTAAAGTGACTCTGGCAATGGCGCACAAACTATTATGTGTAGAATTAGCACCACTCTAGACTTATTTCCAATTTCAGACAAAAGACTTACTGCAGACACTGCACTTCTGCCAACATTATGGCAATGCTTTTTACCATGAGGTCTTGTTACACTGCTGAAGAAACAAAGCCAAACACTTCAGTCTTCCAATTTACTTGACTTTCAAATATTTGTCAGCATGGATCACAGGAAAACATAGACTTCCCTGAAACCAATGCTAACTTCCTCACAGAAACAGCTATTTCGTTTTGTACAACTAGTCGGTTTCTGTACAACTGTCCCCAATACAGCTAATATGAAGAAATAAATGCTTAAATTGCATATATTCAGACTTCATTAAAACAGCATTTAGCAGATAGTTTACAACATGGTTAAGCATAAGCAGTATGCTCTTGACAACGTCAATGAAAAACAGCAGAAACATTCTTTAAAAATGCTACATCCTCATCCTAGGAAATGCATAATTCAAGTCCTGAAATGTTTTGGAATACTGCTTTTCAGCAAGTCTGTTCTATTAAATGGATTACTAGATCTAAAAAAACCCCAAACAAACTAATAACCTCCCCCCCAAACAGATCCAGGACAGCTAAGATGATATTATTTCAGAAAAGATGTTATCAGAAAACTGTCTCATTTGCCATACCATATCTGAAAGTGAGATATATTGAAAAGACTCATAAGACACTCATGTTATCAAACAACATAGTGTTTTCATTTACAGAGGAAATCAGAGCAAGATAGGTCTTAATAATCCACAAATTATCCATGTGGTGACAGATTGAAGTAAACTAAGGCAAAAAGTCTGGGGAATGAAAAAAACATTGGATATTTTGCATATGACAACAATATTAGACATTACAGGATTAAAGAAAATTATTTACAATACTGGTTGAAAACTACTGTTATTTTTAAGATTTTTAAATAAATGAACAGGATTTTATTTAAAAATTTATTAACAACTACAAATAAGAAAAGCCTTGCATACTAGTTACAGACAACAAGAAAGAAGATTGAACTCCACTGAAATATAGATTTCAGATTCTCAAATATAATTTGCTCAGGCCTCACTTTCTGGTGGTATTACTGCCACAGGAAATGACGGCAGAACAATTTTCCTGGGGAGATCCTTCAGTTTCCCAGAACAAAGTCCTCAAAAAAAAAAAAATCCATCCACCTGCACTTCCCATCCATTAGGGCAAATCTTACCTCTTCAAGCTCAGCTACAACTATACATCTCTTACAATCCCATTACAGCCTCCCAAATTTGAATTCTCCCACCTTTCTACTACATGCTCCAAACTTGCTCGTCAACCACCTGCTTTCTACTTTCTATTTACTGTGAATCTCTCCTCCTTACTATGAAAATAGTTTGGCAACATTCAACATAAAGCAATTAGGAAACATTTAACAACTACAGATATTCCATGATTTAAAGAACTTGAATTTTAACAGCAATCTAAGCATAGGATCCAAAAGGGATCTTTTCCCATCTGCATTAAATGTTCACCTGTCTGAGCAATCTAAGAACCCCAGAAGTGGTTTGTAATAAACGCACTATTACTCCTGAATAATCTAAGAATGTATCACATGCTTCAAAGTCTGAGTCGTTCATGCTGATGTGAGCTAGCTGCTCAGAACTGAATATATGAAAGAGAAGCATAGTGTCCCTTATAGCCCTTGCATTATTACAAGATATTAGTAACTGACTTTTCTGTCAGTAACCATTAGTGATAACATACCACAACTGTCAAAAAATTACAGCCTAGTCAGCAGTGATCCTTCAGTATACTCATGGACTCCTGAATTCACAGTAGGCAGATTTTTTCAAATAACACTTACATGTAATGAAAAATGAATATTCAGGTCAACCAAGATGACTAATACTTGCATTGTATTTGCCATTTGTTTGGAAAGAATCAGGAGTCATTTTCAATTCTATGTGTATATGAACTTCAATTCATTTACACTAACAACTATATGAAAGTAATATTTAAGACACTGTTAATATGTTTCTTTCAGCTGAATTTGAAAGGTAGAGAGCATCTCCAACCGTTATTTACAGATATCAAAAGAATTTCAAACAGTTAAAGAAAAAGCAGCTACAGTAGCAACTCCTGGATATTACTGACAATAATAGTAATAATGTTAATTATATCTGCAAACTTCAATGAACACTGGATCAAGCCCAATGTTTTCCTTTATCAAAATCTTTCATCTTCATTAAAAGTATCACAAGTGTACTAAAGATAACCACAGCCCTCCAACTAAGCAATTAAGGTGTTGATTTGAAAGAAGGCTGCAAATTTACTGGAAATTTTGTAATATTTTATAATTTTACCCATTCAATAAACATGGGACGAAAAACAAACCATACGTGTCGTATGTATAATCATTAAGAAAACTGTCCTCACTCAGATATGTTACCCTAACCACAAAACTTTGGTCAACAACAACTTCAAAATG